TTATAATACTATTTTTGGCATCATAAAGTGTCTTATATATTAAATATAGGCCTATATACATCAGCAGTCTGGTTACCATAGTACAGAGTTGATAATATTGTAACAGAACCTGGCAGAGTATGGATCCACTTACTGTTATAAGATAGTGAACGAAAGAAGGAAACAATTTGTTTCTTAGAAGCTTGCGGTTTGGCGATATCATTTGTTACTTTCTTTGTGATTAAACTGTTGTTCGCTGTGCGTAACAATGCATAAGGCAGACTACACACGGTTTAAATATCCACCTATTTTGAAGGCGATACAATTTTCACGTTTATACCTAGTCTGACTGAAAAAAAAGCTAGTATTGAAAAAATTAACAGACAAAAGTAAGAGTATTTACTATAAATGCAGATTTTTAATAGATTTGTTTACATTTTTTAAATCTAAAAAGTTCTGGAGTGGCGACTACGTACCGGAAGAGATGGAGTGTAGGTAGGCGCCCTACAAGGTGGTCCGACGACCTGGTGAAGGTTGCGTTGGATGAGGGCAGCACAAGACCGGTAGTTGTGAAGAGCCTTGGGGGAGGCCTATGTCCAGCAGTGGCCAGTGGACGTATTTTGGCTGAGATGATGATGTTTTTTTTTGTTATTTTCATATGTATATTTTTGATAAAACCTTTTGAATATTTCATTTTTTTTAGAGTATACAAACCTAACTAAACCGTTATCATTGTTTAAAAAATTTAAGCCTTCAGCCATTCCCAGGTGTTACGCTAACTATGAAGACCAATATTTTTTTATTGAAATGATTACGTTAAAACTTACGTTTAACTGGTCTGTTGGTCACGTAGTTAATGATCGTGACTGCTAATCCAGAGGTTGCTAGTTCAATTCCCATTCAGGACAATTATTGTGTCATGAGCATGAACCATTTGTTTTGACTTGTATCTGGGTGTAATTCATCTATAATATGTGTGTATTTAGAAATTTGCCAGCAGTCTGATTACCATAGTACAGGCTCTGCCTAGTTTGGGATCGGACTGCCGTGTGTGAGATGTTTAGGGTCATACGACCATATGCCACCGATAGGTGGTATCCGAGGGGATTTCCGCATGGAAAAAAAAAGGGTCATACGACCATATGGAATGTCATTGATAACTTGAATAAAACCTTGAATACTGATTCCGAAAATTTTCATTCAGAGTATTTATTAATTAATAATCTAGACTACAAAACATCACGCTAAGACCTTTAGGATTGGGGCAATAGCAACAAATGCAGATGAAACTACGAGGCATAGGTAATAATCGATACTTCCATACTTTGTATGAAAGTGTGTTTATTTGTGACAATTTCACGCCTAAACCACTAAACCGATTTGAAAAAAAAAATCAACAATGGTAAGCTACATTATCAGCGAGTAACATAGGCTACTTTTTCCCTCGACAACTGACACACATGCGGGTGGAACCGCGGGCAAAAGCTGTATATAAATAAATAAGTTGTCAAGCAGTCTGTACATACCAAACAATGTCTGATCAATGTATTAAGCAACTTACTGCGGTTTAACGAAAGTGGGTCTTCATCTATCCTAAACAACCATTATCACAATTACTAGATGTTCAGTTATTTCTTGGTACACGATCCGATGTCGCTTTTTAACTTGTGGTTATATATTTTAACTTTGTATTAAGTAATTTATTTATTTATTAGTCTACATAACTGTTCTACATTAGTCGTGTATTGTTGATTTAGTAAAAAGTGGCTGTATGGTCTATGGTCTCTGTCTATGGTGTGTAAAGAGCTACAAGAATTTGTTATGTAAAAAGACAACTCCCGCATTAGGAATATATCCTGTGTCGCGGGGGACTTTACAAATATACATGAAACGGACACAAAGAACACCCAGACTCAGAACAACAATTTGTGGATCACACAAAGTGTCGTCCCATGTGGGATTTGAACCCACAACACTCGGCGTAGTAGGAAGCGGCGTGGCGACCGCTTAAACCACTACGCCATCCGTGCAGTCCAATAAAGTAATGTTGATGGGAAGCTGTGTGCAAGTTATTTTGATAATCCTAAAATATCAATAATCCCTTACAAATATCTCATAGTGAGATAGAACAATGACTACGGGTATACTGGGCCTTAAATTTTACTTGAAGTGAAATTGAAATTTTCATCCTTATTACCTGGATAGTTGGCGCACAACCAATCTGTGGAAAGGGTTAAAACCTTCAAGAAAAGAGCGTACTCCTTCCTAAAAGGCCGGCAACGCGTTTGTGACTCCTGAGTTGCAGACGTTCATGGGCGGCGATAGTCACTTTCCATCAGGTGACCCGTCTGCTCGCCTGCCCCCACTGCGTCTGCACCAGAATATGGATGCACCAGAAATATTTTGTTTTAGTTAATACGTATGATATCTGAGAAAACAGACCAAGAGAATGCAATATATAAAGTCATGTCACTAGTTAAGATGGGCCTTAACAATTTTACTCTAAAATGAAGATTTTCGTGCCGCTTTATTGTCCTTTATTAAAGCCAGTAACTTCAACCGTTGATAGAGAGTCCCTATCTGGACCAAAACTGTTTGGACATCGCAGAAATACATACTACGTAGAACTTAGTGATTTAAATAACTATTATTTCCTTTTTTATATAAACAAACAGCCAGATAAACAAAAACTAATAAGTTAATCATCATAAAACATCGGTTACGCATAAAGCCACCCACACACGCACACTGAAACAAAGATACAGACACACACACACATACACACACTCACATATAAACACTCATACACACACACACACACACACACACGCTGACATAATTATATACGTATGTCCACAAGTACATTCCATTATCATGATTTATAAATAATTTATAACTTATATTGTAAAACCATTGTACCTCTAATTAAGGAAGGCACTGACTCCCAAGATACAGGTTAATCAACCTAGTTTAGGAGACAGAGCACCTATCAAAATGTAACTTTGATGGTTCAATAAACTTGTTTGTTTGTTTGTTAATCTCTCTGTATCGTTAAAAATAAATTAACATATCAATTTATAAACTGCTTGGTACCCATCACGCGCTCGTAATGTTTATGTTTAATGTTTGAGTAAGTAGAGCATCAATGTATACATAATACGATTATTTTCTACATAGCTGCCTGTCTCGAACCTCTTGAGAACCAGTGAATAGAACTGAAGTGAAGGCTCTCTACGTACTAAAATATTAATTAATTTAAAATTAAGAAATGGGTAAAATATATTTTGTCCGATATCTTCGTATGGTGATGGATTAACGCAAGGAGTGTCAACACCTTTTTTCATCCCGTGGATGTCCGGATCAAACTAAGCAGAACAGTACTTGTAAAGAGAAAGAAAACTTTAAACAAACCTTATACCAACCCGACTAGTGGTGGTAGTAGGGCGAAACCTCCTTTCTTAGGAGAGGTCTATGTCTGGCAGTGGATTAAACGTTATTGATGTGACCTAATATGAACGGCAGAACGTTTCATTCTTTAAAAATATCCCCAGTTGTGTGCGAAACTAGTCATAAACTATGGTCACGAAAAGAGTACTTACACAGATACATATATATAGTTTTGTAATTTGAAAGTCTTTTGCTTGACATTGTACATGATAAATGAATAGGCTTTATTTAATAGACTAAATATATAAATAGGCCATTTAAATAAGCCACTTTAAAATATTAAATAGCTGATGTAAATTTTGGTGCATCTTTTAAGGGCGTTCAATTAGTAATTTATTTATTTATTGTATTGTTATACATACCTTAGCCCACATTTGAATATGAAAGTAGTAATTCGGATTTAATATCACTTTAACGAGTTTTTTTTTACTTATCGGTAGTGTGAGGACTCTCTTTATTTCAGGATTTTAGGCTTTTGAAACTAAAAGCATATGTTTGGTAGTGATACCTCAGTGATCTATCTATCTTTTACAACAAATTTTTTATCTTTCAATTAGATAATTGATACTTTAACATGGTATGCTTTTCAAAAATATTTTGGCTTTGCACAGCCAATTCATGGAATACATTATTGCCTGCAGTATAACCAAACCGATACTACCTTCAAACCGTCCATAAACTAGTTTAATTTAACCTCTAAGGCCGGCAACCTGTTAGTGATTCTTGAATTACAGATTGCAAGGTGCATTTGCCTACACACCAGTTATATTACATTAAAAAATAATTATTGCTTACAAGCTGAAATAGAAAAACTTACAAATAACTAATTTCTACACAATACATTAAGGATAATTTATCAAAAAACTTCTGAAACAATCCTTATTTGTGTGTATCCATATGATAACTTTCACATATAACAATAATTACATAAATTTAATGTAAAAGTTAAATTGCACTTAACGCGTACATGAATTACAAGCAGTCATGTATTATCTAACACGCCCTTCCTTACTTATTATTAACATCTACACTCACTTATTATTAACATCTACACTCAAAAATAAACCATAATAACGTAATAATTAAAGTCACAATTTCACGTAGGACGTTCTTTTTTTTTTAGTTCTGTAACATTAATAGAAAGCAATATGTTAAATACCACTATTGTTGCATTGTCATCAATATTACAATACATATTTTTTTAACATATCATTTTCTTTTATTGTTATGTTAAAAATCTTATTAAATAGCTGTCGTACTTGTCTTTTGCACAACAGCCCATTGATAAGAGGAGATGTTATCAGATTCTGACTAGAAGTGACCTCGAGAAGGTGAAAGTCGACAGTTCCGGTATTATCCGACACTTGTGTACGAGATGAGAGAGTATGTTTGTGTACGTGTGTGGAGGATAGCGCGTGCTTCCATTCAACGCTGAATCGCAACGGGCTGCGCATGCGCATCGGCGAAGTAAAGACATCAACGCGCGCGCATAAAATATTTAGATAAAAAATAGTATGTGTAGTGAAAAGTGATTATGAGTAACTTGTAAAATATAAAAGTGTTCTGTTTTCAAAATGGCTCGTACATTAGTTGTTATATTTTTTACGATACTCGTCGTTTTGGTAAAACCTGAAGATGATATGAAAGACTTCGAATTCAGTGATCCGGACGAGGTGATGATTGCTCAGGAGTCGAGGCACTATCAGAGTGTAGTCGAGCCTCCAGTTAGGATAGTGAAACCCACAGGTGTAACGAACTCCCACAGACCGCAATATAACGTGGACTCATTCGAATCACATGATAGTTTAGAAAATATAGAGACACCACCTAGAAAGTCCTTAGTTAAAATCTACAAGTCTTCTAGCAGAATAAGGGGTAAGGAAGGCATGATTAAAGACGCTGTTATTAAGGCATTGGACAGGAAGGATCATGTAGGCAAGTTTGCACAGATACTGCCTATTATTAGGGCAATGTCGGGAAATCAGAGGGTGGCGCTGGCGTCTTTAGTTGCGAGCCAAGTTACTACCCCTCCTGGAAGAGCACCACTGAATCTTGTACAGGTACATCTTAGATTTTACATACTAACACAATAACACAATATTATATGTACATTTGTTTATAAATTATATTTTCTTTTCTAAACTGCTGTTAAATAAATAATAAAGCAAAATGAGTCTAATGCGTAATACTAGTAGTCTGTGTTCACTGCGCCGCTCCTCCGTGTCGTAGCGTGATGATACATTGTACATAATAAATACCTTAATACCTTTACTAATAAATACTCTATTCAGCACAAAAAGTATGTAAAAAAATTAAACAAATAAAATATTCTTCAACTTGATGATATTAGAATAGACAAATCTATATATATATATATATAAGAAAATATTTTTTATAAAAAATAAATTAGACATTTTTTTTTTACTTTTCTAAATTTAAGTTTATTTGTTACTCAATCACGCCAAAATGACTTGCCGGATCTAGACGAAATTTGGCCCATGGATAGATTATATTCTAGAATAGCACAAAGGTTACTATTTATCCCGGTCAAATTTATTGACAAAATTGACATTTACACGAGCGAAGCCTACCTAGCGAAGCTTAACAGTGCATTTTAATTATAAAAGTTTTATTTTTTATAACCACGGCTAGTATTATTTGGTCCAAACGACACACTCTTCACAGATATGCTATATCTAACATATTTATCGCGTTAATTATGGAACTAATAACTATGTATCATTTAAATATTTTAGTCTTTTTTATTTCATAAATATGCTATTTTAATAAACGTATGTAGTATCTTACTTTCTTAAGTTATTCCCAATACATCCCGTGGGTATCATAAGAGCAAACTACGCAGGACAACAGCACTGCAAAGAGAAAAACAACTTTACTAAACCCTTTTTTTTTTTTTTACGTGTGGAAATCCCCTCGGACCGTCACCCCGTCGGGGCTCTCGTTCGGCGGGGCGGTGTGTCGGACTCGAACCAACTAAAACCACACGGTGTGCCCTCTTTGCGCTTCCAGTTTAGGAGGGGTCCAGGTAGTTATCGCCTTCTGGACCCCTCCCAGCGCCGGCCCGCTCCTGTTGCGGGCTCCGTCTCTGATCTTTCCTCTCTTTAGGCGACGTCCGGCACACGCGGACGCCGCCCCCTCGCGGCTGGCCAACTAGTGCGGGTGGAGGGGAGAACCCATCCCGTCCACCCGCGGCCACACTCAGGGCGGCATGAGGCGCAGGTAAGCGCGCCTAAGGTTCGCCGGCGGCGGATCAGGTCCGAGTGGATCTGGACTAAACCCTATACCAACCCTTCTGGTCAGCGTGGTATAGTAGGCCAAACCCTCATTTCTCAAGCCTAGTCTCAAGTCTAGTGGCAGTGCACTGTTAGAGTGTGTTGATGATCATAAGTATCATAGTTGATGGTTAAAATAAATTATTAAAAAGTCTTTATGAAGAGAGGTTTTGAAAAATCAGTTTCGTTTTTTATAAACATTATTAATATTTTAGCAGCAAAGCAAACTAAAAGTAAATATAACTTGACATTAGTCATTACGAGTAGTGTTTTGCTTTTATGTAATATCATAATATGTGCCTTGTAGTGGTAATATAAAATACTTAAAAATTATATAAGATCGTTCAATTGCAGACAAGTTTATTTATTTGACTAAAATTCGCGTATTGTTTTTTTCTTAGTTCTCTTCTCGGCATAAATGAATTCGACCTTGCAAGCTAATATTAATATATACCTTGAGAAATAAAAAAAACAACTCAAGGATCCAAGTCTAAATGAACCCAAGTGCGTTGTACAAACATATGATTGTACTACTCCAGGATATGATCTATTTGGTTTATGATTCACAAAACTTAAAAATTCTAGTAATCTGTAAAAAAACTAAAAAATTATTAATATTATCACGTGCATAATTATATTTAAATAATGTATTTTTCATTTATGAAGCCATATGAACTATTTATGTTTTTGCGGGTTTATAAATAACAATTGCAATGACTGCACGGATGGCGTAGTGGTTTAAGCGGTCACCTTGCCGCTTCCTACTGCGCTGAGTGTTGTGGGTTCGATCCCCACATGGGACACCACTTTGTGTGATCCACAAATTGTTGTTCTGAGTCTGGGTGTTCTTTGTGTTCATGTATGTTTTTAAAGTCCACCGCGACACAGAATATATAATATTGCTAATGCGGAAATGGTCTTTTATAAGAAAAACTGAAAGAAAATAAAATCAATTAATGCAAAAGAAAAATAAATATGCACCTATTTCATTTTTCAAATTTGTCTTCATATCAAATATCTACTATTTCTATGCAATTTCGAAGTAATTGAATTTCTGACATTTACACAAACTTTCATATTTCTAATGGTATTAGAATTAAGATATCCGCATTTGTAGTTATTATTTACTATAAATATATATTGAAACAACTTTATTACTTTGATATGCTTTAAAATGTTACGTTACACAACTTATTAAAACGATTCAAAAAAACAAAAATAGATAATTTTGTATATGGAAATTGACGCGCTCACGATAGGTGTTAAGTACATACTTTCGAATTGCCTGACATTTCGACCAGAATGTCAATTCTCAAATTCAAGTTTTATTATTATTTACTTTACTAATAGTCGACTTAACAAGAATATAATTACGAGTTACACTGCAATAAAATATGAATAGTCTTATTGTGGAACGCAGAACGTCAAGTGTAGGGGTGAAAAATCAAGTTTCCAAGTTTCAATTCATGTTTTTTAAAATAGAAGGTTACAAACGAGTAAATCTTCTGATAGTAAATGACTATATCCACCCATTGACACCTGCTACTCAAGACTCAAACGGTGTTGCTGCCTTTTGACTCTTGAGAATCAGGTGAAATGGTGAAGGGTTTGGACTCCAATAAATTTACTCACACGATGAAACTATATTTGCACTAAGCAAGAGTTGAATTCAATAAAGATGCAGAGTAATAATACAACAAATAGTCAAAACTTCACACATCTTACACACGGCTGTCTGATCCCAAGCTAGGCAGAATCTGTGCTAGGGTAACCAGACTGCTGATGAGCATACTTACATATTTATACATACATATAGTATTATAGATCAATTACACCCAGATACAGAAATGATTGATGACAGGCCCGTGTGGTGACGGATTCAGAATACAGAGTGTCACCACCCCTATTCATCCCGTGGGTGTCGTAAGAGCCGACTAAGGGAGAAAATTACGCAGAACAACAACACTGCAGAGAGAAGGAAAACTTGACACAAACCCTATACCAACCCGTCTGGTCAGCGTGGTATAGTAGGCCAAAACCTCCTTTCAGAGGAGAGGCCTATGTCCAGCAGTGGACTATTAAAGGCTGTGGATGTGGACAGAAATGATTGTGCTCATCACACAATTATTTGTCCCGGGTGGGAATCGAACCCACGACCTCCGGCTTAGCATTCATGGTCACCACTAACCACTTGAACAACGCCCGTTATTGTTTATCGTCGTCACAGAGTTGTACTAATTTATTCTGTATTTAAACACTTTAAAACATGGACAAGTTCATGACCTGAACTAAAAGCACAGATACATATAGAATTAGTTATTCTTCTCGAGTGATCCGCTACATAAACTACATAGCATACGTCACATATTAAAATAAACTTAAAAAGGAGTACAAATATTTAATTAAGTGCATATCATTACATTTGTATATAATTATATCAGCGACTGAAGTGAAAGAAATAAGTAGAATGAAATTTTAATAGACGATTTTTTGTAGACTTAATGGAATGTTTAAAGATCTGTGATAAGAAATTCAGTAGGAGTCAAAGAACCCTATCGCATTACTATACAAATAAATAAAATTGGAGTGTCTGTTTATAATATTAAAATAACCGCTTTTTACTAAATGCATATGTATGTTTACACGGTACATATGCCAAAATAACATTTTTACAATTTTTGTCTGTCTGTCTGTCTGTTTATCTATCTGTCTGTCTGTTTCGGGTAATCTCTGGAACGGCTGGACCGATTTCGACGGGACTTTCACTGGCAGATAGCTGATGACATAAGGAGTAACTTAGGCTACTTTTTTTAGACTAGCTTCGCCCCGCGGCGTTGCCTGCGGTTATAACAACAAACGCGGGTAACACCGCGGGTCTCAGCTAGTTTAATAATATAAATAAGAAAGTTTATTAGTTTGCTTTAATTATTTATTTCATTCTTTAATTTTGTACTTAAAAATATATAGAGTATCCATTTTTTACGCGGGGAATGCTTTTCGCATTATGCCCTCTGCTAGGGAGACGAAGAGCGTATGTGGTACTCCTGGCGATCTATGAACTAAAGCAAGCGGCGGCCTGCCTCGTCACTCGAAAGGAGCTCCAGGAACGCATCGACGGCTTCTAGACTCGTCCCTGCCGTACCCATGACTGAAAGACATAGATACAAACGACTATTAACAAGGAATAACAAAAGAGTAGCCATTCAAAAGCTGGATACATTTATAAATATACGAGTATATACAAGATACTTACCCAAACATACATATTTCATGTATCGCGGGAAACGGCTTCTTACTTTGCATCAAATATATAGATAACATTTCGCTTTTTAAGTTTGTCCTATTGAACTGTGTTTTTTTGTGATAAAAACCAAAAAAGGGGTTTCCCAGGTTTCCCAGGGGTGAACGAAGTTCGTTAGAAGACAACAAAATAGTATATTAATTTAAAAAACCCGTCAACTGCGTGTCAGGCGACAGTTTGCCACTTTATTGCTTGTTATTAAGTTTAATTTAGACATCTACAATGAAAGTACGGAACGTAAGTTCTAAAATAAAAGTGGCAAAATGTAGGGCATAAGTTGTTTAATATTGACCGTTTAATTTTACAGTAAACTTTCAATTTTGGTAAAGCAATTAATGGTTAAAAGAAAGTACTCACTCATATTGACGTGTGAAGTCTCTTTTTGTGTGTACTTTGATCTGTTTTGTCTCTGTCATAGCGTTTATTAATGTCAATAAATGACAACCGCGAGGGGTATACTCTTGTCTCGTCGCCAGAGCCATCTATCACGTACCCACAG